TGAATTTATCAATTAGCATAGGTATTTAGCAAAAAGGACAGACGCAAGTCCGAACCGTTTTTTAAGAATATTAATTAAAATAATATTTTTATTAAAAGTTCTAAAATGTATGTAATAGCAATTTGTTAATATTATGCTTTAATTTTAGTATTAGAATAAGATAATAGAAATGTCAATCAAGTTCTATTCTAGTAATAAAATAGCGAAATCATGAGAAAAATAAACAATAGATCAAATATTTAATTCTGTTTAAAACTCTGCTTAAAAGTTTTAATTCTCACATTAAATTGTTGTATTGTATAAGATAGGTGAAAATATTAATGGAAACCTTATTGTAAAGAATAAATTTAATGTTTTAAAGTTCTCTATATAAAATACAGTTATTTTATTAAATTGTTATGGGAAATAAATATCATTAATATTATACAGACTCTAAGCACTAAATCCACAAACTGTAGCTATAGCAAATCTGGTTTTCCATTCATACTTATTCGCATACTCGTATTATTGTGTGTTTCCTTTTCTTTGAAATAAAAAATCACTTCGCTATCTATGTAAGTTGTGGTTACCTGTAAAAAGATGAACGCATAGCATGTAGTCGCAGTGTTGAGTTATATTTTTGTTAGTATTGTGTATCATCTGTTGGTGATCCAAAAAAGTCATAGGAGGAAATATGAAAATGTGATAGTGAAAATTATCGGTTCGTTGGGGGGTTTTCAGCTACAGTTTCCAAACTTAAAACAAGAAAGAAAACAAAATCAGGAAAAGTAAAAGTGAAAGTAGTGAAATTTCGGTATCACATTTCTAAGTGGCACTTTGGAATAATTGCTGTTTTATTTCGCCAGTGTCTACCCTATAAGTAGGGAAATAAGAAGATATACTGTCCACTAAGTACATAACAGAAGTCTGGACTGGAACCATTCCTTGGAGCCCGTAATCTTAGTCGTCAACCGCTTTCTTTTGAGAGAGCGGTTAAGGTTCTAAGTCGAACGTCTTATCATGGGTCACGCCCACCGCGTTGATTCCCGAACCCGACGAGTTGTGGTATAGGAAAGAGGCTAGTAATTGATTGATCATTGTTATGGCGTGAGACGAAAAACGTGACTTGCTTATTCAGCAAGCAACAAGGGCTCGATACTCGCCGGCACTAATGAAATTATTAATAGCAATTTTAAGTGCTGATTTACTAACTCCTGTGATTTAAAGGGAAACATCGTGAGGAAGTCTGCATATCCGAGAAATAAGAAAAAAATAAATATATTTCGAAAACATGTAAAGTTCACCAACACGCATTGGGGCAGCGCGGCGGACCCTTCTTCGCCCTAAAACCCTCTCAGAAATAACAGGAGGCCTATGCCCAGCAGTGGGACGTATATATGCTGTAACTTTCACTTTCACGTTATAAATTTATATAATAGGGGATAACCGTTATGTAGTATTAGTTGCTGATGACAGTTTATTAATTTTTTGTTAAAAAGACAGTTTAGAAAATTTTACGAAGTAAGTAATGCTATATCTAAATTAGTAATTTGGTTTAATGTTAATTATTTGTCTGTATAATATTAACCCTCAGAAGACACAAGTTTGTGCGTTAACCGCTAAAAAGAACACCTTTGTCGTATCTCCTCAGTTTCAAGGCACCCTTTGTTGTCTCAGCAAGTATCGGAATCTTCGGCGTCGACATATTGAGTGGCGTGCAGTTTCGTGGTCACTTGGAAGAGAAGGCCAAAGTGACCTCAAAAAGCTTGGCGTACTCAGCAGAGCGGGACAGTATTTCATGCCGGCACACCGCCATGAACCTGCGCCTTGAACAGAACAGGCGCAGGTTCGGCCGCACATTGAATACCGTTCCCATCTCTGGGCTGGAGCTCCCCACTACCAGCTCCTTCCACTTGACCGCATCCAGCGCAGAGCGGCTGGAATCGTCGACGACCGAGTGCTTTCCGATCGGCTTGATTCACTGGCGCTGCGAAGAGATGTTGCATCTCTTTGCGTATTTTATCGCATCTATCACAGGGAGTGCTCTGAGGAATTGTTCGGATTAATCCCAGCCGCCAAGTTTCATGAACACACTACGCGGCAAACCTCCTGATACCATCCACACCATCTGGATGCTTGGTGGTCCACCACTGTACGTTTCACTAGGACTTTTCTTCCGCGTACGACCTCTCTGTGCAATAATTTACCACTGGCGATTTTTCCGGACCGGTTGTTCATGGGCTGCGGTAGTCACTTAAGATCAGGTGAACCATAAGCTCGTTTGCCCCCTCTTCTATAAAAAATTGTATTTAAATGGCACTAAAAATGAATGTAATTCGTTACTTCAATTGCTAAACATGTAAATACTAATGTAATTTTAAATGAGGAGGAGCTGAGTCTTGTCTGTACCATTTCTCTTGGAATCACACTAGACGCGAAGCTTCAATGGGGCTCCCATATATCAAAATTAGAAAGCAGACGTACATAGTCTGCAGAAAACTAGTTTACTTTAGTTATTTCTATAGCATAATGTCGTATAGTATTTTGCTATGGGGACACGCGACTGACACCGAAATTGTATTTGTTTTACAGAAGAGGGCTGTGGGCGCAATCTATGACTTAAAACCTAAAGAGTCACCCTGACAAAAATTTAAGGAAATTAACACATTAACTTTGGCCTCTCAATACGTACACAAAAATAATAGTAGTTTTACAAAAAATAGTGATATTCATTCTGTAAATACTAGGAACAAACACAAGTTGGTAGTAGCAGGTACTCGACTCCACCTAGTCAATAATTCATTCTTGGGGCAATGTATACGCTTTTACAACACAATACCAGGATTATACATATACAAAATTTGACATGCTAGCCTGCAAAGTTCAAAAACTTCGTTGAACTAAGTTTGTATAAAATGGGTTATTATAATATTAAGGAATTTATGGTGATAATAACCCATGGGAATGAGGTGATCGCTACTATGTTATTACGAATTTGTTTAATGTTGATGTATTAGGTAACATATATGTAGTAAGCTGTTATTTTTTCAAACTTCCGCTGGGTTTCTTGCTGGTTCTTCCCAGGACAGAGGTTTTTTTATGAACCAGTAGTAATTAAACAAAAGATTGACTTTTAATAAGTATTATTTATAATCTACATTGGATAAAAAAGTGTCTGTTTTTGTTTCTGGTTAGAAAATCATCGCTACAGTTATCGTCATATGAAATATTAATCCATGCCATGTAATCTCTTTCCCTGAGCCGATTGCTTTTAATATCAAAATTTCTGAGAGTTTACATGTTCTATGAATATGGATTCGTCATCAGAACTGAGGAATATGGCCGCCATATTAGAACGATTTCTTTTAGGTTTATTGTTTGAAGTTTTAATATGTACGTTGATACTAGAAAAATACGTTCCAGAAAAGAATTGAAATGGCGGTTACTGTTACAATTTGATTACTTATTCATATTTACATACCTACATACCACATGGACTTTAAATGAATTTTAATAGGTAATGCAACAAGAGTTTTCAAAATAGTTTTGATTATGCAGAAACAAGTATTTTGAGAACGATGGCAACTTATTACATTTCTAAAAAAATTCCTATTCGGAGACCATTTCATAAATTTAGAAACTAACTGATCAAGTACGCAAATATAACAGCGAAAATAACTATAGTCTGTTTCTAGGCCAGGCGGAAAAACGTACATTGACCTCAAGTATTATGTGAGCATTGAAACAAAACGACAGGTATTGCTTCCATATATTTCATTATCGATTACGTATCGTTATGCGCTAAGCGTGTCTCATGGTACGGGGTAGGGTGAAGGAAGCGATCATTCAGAGATAAAAACCTGTTTCGACACGATACGCAGTCTAGCGTTAAAATTTTTGGTTAAAGTTGTTGTTTTCATTTTTATTAAGTTTGTTTTATTTGTTGTATTGTAACGTTTTGAATTAAAACAAATTAAATGAATATGATAATGCCATTGTTAAAACTGTAGATAGTTTTATAATCAATGTGGCGGACTCTTCCATCTCTTTATCATCAGAAAATGATTCAGAAATAGATACAGAAGAATAGTCTGTCAAGTGCCAAAATTTCTCATAATGGATTGTCAGATCTATTATGAGAATTTTATGCATTACTCAAGGTTGACTGCTAAAGAATGCTTAAGCATTAAAAGTTCGCCTTTTTACCCGACTGCTATGAATTGGTTATGTTTTATACAACTACCGAGCTACCTTCTTATTAAACTACTTAATTACTGGTAACGTAATAATGAATTTTGTAATAACTTTCATGATTTATAAATAATAAATTTAAATAAATCTTCTTTATTCATAATATAATAATAGACACAGGGCCTGCGATGAACTTCACACTCGGTACTCTTATCTCTTTCATTCTAATAATGTATGTTTGGCTACCCCGATGATATCGTCAAAGGTCAATGTACGTTATCCCTTTATTCCTTCTTTTCCTACATGTGTAATACAATGCTGTCACGTTCAAAACCCCTCAGAACATACAGATTATATTACTTATACTCTTTGTCCGTCAGTTATGGATTATTTATTATTCAGCAGAATCACAGTGCGTCACGGTTCTCGATGCTATATGGTCTGGATGCTACATGAATGGAATGGACTACTATTTTATTCTAAGATCGTGTGAGCAATGATTTTAATTTTAAGTAAATATAAATAAAATAAATCAAAGTTATAAAACTGAAGATGCCATCCTGCCTCTCACTATAAGACAATCTATGGGAAGGTATTATTCAGCAGCGGGTATAGGCTCTACTAGATGAAATGGATATAATTTTAAGTTTGTATTTAATTTTATTTTTGTAAGAAATTAACAGTATAAGGAATTATGTCTTTGTTATTGTTTGGATTATTTAACTCATTTCGCAGACCTTGCTATAGCAAAAAATTTAAACCTGTTTTAACGAAAAATTGAAAGCTGTGGAAATAATGTGTTCATAAAGCATTTTATATAATTGTTACAGATTTCACCCGGCTTAGGTGTCATACCAGCACTTATTGCAAAAAGCTCAATTTGCTATGATCCGCTTATTTATGTTGGAATGAACACGCAGGTTAGCCCATTTATTATTTGATTTGATTTCGCAAATTTTTTCATCTTCAATTGGTATAATTAATTATATTAAATATTTTATGATAGGTTTATCGTTTCCAGTTTCGCCAATCTATAAGACGAGTTTTTGGTGTACATAGCAAAGGACATTCGCAGACAGAAAAAGGATTACATAACACTGTATTATCTCAAAAGCTATCTGCAATAAATGAAATTACCATCCGATATAATACTTCGGAATTGAATTTATTGACTACACCTCAGAGAGACGAAAAAAATAAAATTCCTACTGATGAACGAGCTGATGCGACTAGAAGCGATTTTAATAGCAAAAACCACCCAAAAATTCCAGAATTATCAACAATCCAAGAAAATAAAACAGCATCAGATGTAGAAAGGTCTGGTGATGTAGTCTATGATGATGATTCCAATAGCAGCACTAAAATGGAATCATTTGTTGAACCTTGCAAGCTTGCCGATAATCCTTTAATTTTAAAAATAGTAGAATCAGAAAGCCTACTTCTTAGCCAAAGAGTTAAACGCAATAACAATATCAAGGATCTGTTAAAAATTTGTAGTGTTCAAGGTCTTAAAATACATTCAAATGAAGATATTATATTAGACGATAACATGGAAATCTCAAGGAAACTTCACACCATGAAACATAGTTATTCATTAGATTTAAGTTGCGTTTCAAATGAGGGTAAACGCCGTAAACTTTCTATAGAAACAAGGAGAGAATCTTTCAAACCACCGCAGGGTTTTTAGTAGATATGGTAGTTAGCAAATTTTATGGCCAAGATTCTAAGAAAAAATTAAAATGTATCATAGTGATTCTAAAAAAATGTGATCCACACCTAATTGTTAAGAATTAGCAATTTCACAGCACTTTTAATATGAGATGCAAACGTAAGTTTTCAATGAAAGTCGTCGTTAAGGATCTGTGATAAAGAGATGTATCATGGTACGGTATAATAAAGTGAATATTTTTGAAGAAACATAACGAATTTAAGATCATTAAGTAACGTATCAAGTGTACATAAATTGTTTAATAAGTTGTATAAATAAAATTAATAGATTAGAGTAGTCAACAAATTCCTGATTTAAATATAGATATTAATAAAATAATCTTAATGAGACTAGTAATGGCTTATAATTTATACAAATATTTTGTTATTACTTGTTATAAATGCTTTATTTTTCTTAGCAACTGACATCTTGTAACGTAAAGATTGTTACACCATCATATCATCATCGTGGGAAAAAACAAGCAAGAGGGCTGAGAATCCTAATGTTAAAGCCTAACCGTAAAGAAAATTTATTGTTCCATATCAAATTATGTAACATTGATTCTTAGTCTGTAAATAATAAAGTATAATATTTTATAGATACTAGAGGATCAATAAATGTCATTTTTACTATGCATCAAAAGATTTGTGATAGGTAGGAAAATTGCTTGCTATTGCTACGCTTATTGATATGTGGCGTACTAAATATTAAAGTATGCCTTTTTAAACGGATATTATCAGTCCCCTTTATTTGTATACGTCCATGATCATATCATCACGAAACTCTTTAAAGGAAAATAATTTTTTCATCAATTCAAAAATGAACTACTTTCACAATGCCAATTTTATTAAAGGCATTTATTAAAAACACAATGAATTATTTCTATCTTCTGCCGTTGTTTTAAGAATATTTTTATATATTATTATTATCATATCATTAATTAATTAAACTATAATAAAGATATATTTATAGCCTCCTTAGAAAAGGAAATCATGTGTGTTAAATATTATGGTTGTAAGAAACAATATTGTCCACAATTTTAAACCTTAAGAAATTTTTGGTTTTTGGTATGATTGTAAATTTAAATTAACGAAATGTAATTATTAAAACATTAGGTCATATTGTAAAGGGTGATTTATATATATGCAGTATAGACTTCGTCTATTCTAATCCAAATGAATAATATTAATATATTATTCGAAAAGATACAAATAGAATAAGATATTAAATTTTCTAATTATGCGTAATTATTTAATGAATATAATTATGCTAGTGCTTGAAACTTTTGCAAAAAGAAAATAATATAGTTTTTTTTCTCGCTGAAAGTCTACCTGGGTTAATACAAGCCTTTTATGTTTTTCGACGCCTTTTACGATTCTGATTTAAATTTTAAGAGAATTAGTGTCACATGTTCTAAGGTCTATTAAAATAAAATAAAAAAAACACAGATGCGTTGTCGCTGTCAGGAGGGACAACGCATCTGTGTTTTTTATTTAGAGGTAGAGGTAGAGGTGCCGCTGGAGCCACTTAATTAAATAGACTTTATAAATAAAAGTATTTATAAATAAAATTCATAGTTGACGTACAATACCAACTCGTACGATACCTACGTGACTGATGACATTGATGAATTCCTATTGTCAGATATGTACTTAGTTGGGCGTGATATGAATGTTTGTTACATCGAAGATAATATGTACGTTATATAGAGATCAGGAAAGTTTTGTATATAACGCGATGACACTATTGTGGGCATTAGATTGAACGATCTATTTATTCATTGCAAAATTAAGATTGATACAATCACGGTCCTAAACACAATTAAATAGTATTCTCAAAAAATTAACAGTTTTATATAATTTAATTAAACTTGCTTTAATACGTCGAAACGTTCATAAATATTGTATGTAAAAATTATTTAAGAAGTTTAATATACTATTAATGAAATAAAGCTTGAACACATTAATGGTTAAATCACATATTAATATAATTTATATAAGTAAATAGTTCTTTATTGTTATTATATTATCTTCATCACAGTCATCTTCTTCAACATCATCATTATTACAGTCCTTTACAAGTCAGCTGAAAATAGGTCTCTTAAAAATTACATAAGAACTAAAAAACTCTTACAAAGTAAATCACCTGTATATGATTATATACAGGTGATTTACTTTGTGCATTATCAATGCAGCTAATTAATTGCCGAACAAGGCTTAGCTGTATTATATTATAATTAAATAACATTAAGTGTTGAAAGTTGACATGAATAATATTGTATATATTTTGGCAATGTTTATAATGAAAATTAATCGTAAATTACGAAATTAAACATAATTTTTCATAAGAATTTAAATAAAGTAGTAGTAAATAATGAACAAATTTGGAATTTAATTTAATTTATCCTTGCTTCACAAAATTTTTGTAACACGCAGTTATATAATATGTGATATCTGTACCGTACCGTACAATATTTATATAAAATTTTGTCGTGCCCGGAACTTCGTTTGCGTGGAATTAGTACTTTTGCTATTATTATTTTTTATTGATTTAGTTGTAAATTAAACGGTCGCTAAGACTTAGAAAGACCGTGGTAGCTCAGATGGTTAGCGCTCGCTGTAAATTTCACAGTGTGCGAGCAAATCGGGTTCGATACCTGAAGACACCAATGAAATTGTTAATTGCAATTTTAAGTGCTGATTTACCACGTACTTAGCGGTGAAGGAAAACATCGTGAGAAAACTTGCATATCACAGAAATAAGAAAAAAAATTTCGAAGACATGTGAAGTTCGTCAACACGCATTGGGGCTGCGCGGCGGACAATTCCTTGCCCTAAAACCCTCTCAGAAATGAGCGGAGGCCTGTGCCCAGGAGTGGGACGTATATAGGCTGTAACTTTAATTTTAACTTTGAAGACTTAGAAGACTAGTCACCAAGCCAATACAATCACCCTATTCTATAAAATAAAAAAAAAAAAAAAAAAAAAAAAAAAAAAAAGACACTAACCTCAATCAAACATTCATTTAGTTGGTCAATCAGAAAAAGAAATGAACGAACAAATAAACGGACCCACAAACTAACCAAGAAACGTGCTTGCGCTGAAAAATGGGTACTCTCGCATTTCGTTTAGCCGATTAGTATCTAGCCAGGAAGGCACTTGCTATCCATCCTATCAACATTCCTTTCCGCACGCCTTGAAAGGGGGGGGGGGTAGGGGATGAAGCTCAATTATGTGGCGTGATTTTTGTCGCCAATGAGGAAGAAGCGAGCCCCCCGCCTAAATAGAAGTGGAGATGGCTGGCGAATAAAAGGACGACCGCTGCCGCCGCTCACTCTCTTTCATCGCAGTCAAAGACCATCGCCAGATGTGATTGCACCTCTGTGGCAGTCGACCACAGAATAATCTAGAAGTAACTGCTTCACATAGCTCAATTTGTATTCGCACACCGCCTATTTTAAACGCAGTCGGAACACCAGGGGCATCGTCCTCGAGGCCGCTGAAGCAGAAGGAATTAAACCAAAAAAAACTACCCCGGTAATTTTATACCCCTTTAATTTGCCTTGCGCTGTTCTTTTGTTTTCCTTACTGTATCCCTTTTCTTATAACAGCTCCAGTTTTAATTCCCGCACAGGGCACTGGCTAAATAATAGACTAGGTAATAGTGAGTGCATTGGCCAAGCCTGCCACGTGCCACATCAGCCATCTTGTTTGGTTATAGGGAACCACGCATACAGTCCACAAGAAAATTGATCTCGCATAATTAATTTTGGCCCGACCCGGGAATCGAACCCAGGAACCATTAGCGCACCATTTTCTGATTCTTCAACCCGTATTCGAAGAGTAAGCATGTGGCCGTACCAAAACAAATAAGGAAAACTGTACGCTTGTGTTTTACATTGTAAATAAACAACGAAATTGCCGCAATAACGTAATTCCTAATTTGCTCCCGGATTTCTTACTCTAGCCAATACTTGCTTTCCATACAACAAATGAGAAATTGCCTTAATAAGAATGTACCATCACCAATTGTTCGATATAAAATAAAAAATTTGAAATGAAATCTACAATCCAAACTACAAAACTACAATGCCTATCTAAAACGAAGTACCTACACTAACATAATAAATGAAATTGCGTAAGTGTATATATTTTGTCTCATCTTGCAAACAAATGAAAAATAAAACTAAACTCAACCTAGGAAAGTTTTTGACCTTTAAGGAATTCGTATGACTGGTTTTAAAATTAGTTGGGTTTTCTATTAAGAAATTCTCACTGGCAGCCTTAACAGTGTTTTATACCTATGCCTCAGAAAGCAGATAAAGTCTTTTTTTATATTTTGCATATAATGATCAAGGGGGGCAGATTAAGTATTCGTACTAATTTTCAAGTTACAAAAATCATTTAATAATTTTTCCCTAAACAAATATGAAATCACTCCGTTGAAAAGATTTTTAAAAACCATATTTTAATTTCTAATTCACGCATTTACGTTAAGCGGTTTGAACTGTAGACTTAATACAAAAATTTTTATACAATATTTGCACTTCTGTTTTAAAACCGTAAGAGGCAAATTTTATTATTTAATTATTATAAAGGATTAAAAATTTTTACTCCCTACAAATTGAACATTATCTACCTTAAGGTAAGGGTTTGTTTTAGGAAATACCAAAATAATTTGATTGTGTTAAGAAATACCAAACGAATTTTTCAAAATTATTTCATAGCGGATTTCTACGTAGTAAAAGGATGCTACTGGCTGGCAACGCATGCAATTCTCCTGGTGATGCAGTTGCCCGTGGGCGGCGATAATCACTGATGATGACCTGACCTGATGGTAATCAGTTGAGCCGTATTCTCGTTTGTCTCCTATAAAATAAATAATTTTTTTCTTCTTTATTAACAACGAGATTTAATATCTGATAGGGTCGCCAGACTCACGCCGAGTTGTCTCAGTGAGCTTTTTCGCCAAGAAGTTCA